TGTATTATGTATATGACGCTGGTGGCAGCTCAGTGGCGAAAAAGTTTCCGCTTTGTGTCAGGTTCGCTACACTGCGACAGCATGGTGCTTACTTATGTATGTAGTTGTTGCTGCTGTTGTGCACACTCACAGCGCCAATACACAAGCAAGGTTCGAGGGGAAAAATCTGCTCTTTTGCCTGCCTCAAAGCCACAATTGCGTGCATATTTCCGCAATCTAAATTTTGCAACAAACCAAAATCAGGCAACCGCTCGCCCTACCCCGCCCCCCGTCCACCGCTCGCCCAACCGCTTCAATGTCTTCGCGTCGTCGCCCACTTGCTGCTGTTTGAACTTTGAACAAAAGTTTAATGTCTCAATGCTGGTAAATTTGTACTTAAAATGCATTAGGCGCATCGAGCAGTCGACAGCAAAGCGTCCGCGGCGGGTAGGCGGTCATGGAGTAGCGGGCGTCTAGGGGCGTCCCGCTACTAGCTAATGTTTGATGATAGTGATTATATGTAGTTGTTGTGTTGGTTGGCGTTAAAATTGTCTTCTTGCAGTTGCACATATTCACAATTTATTACGCCCTTCGCACCCCTTTCGGCCGCAGGCGAGGCGTTAGCGCAATGCTGAACTGCAGCTGAAGGGATTTCTTTGGCATACAAATTCGCCAAAGTTGCTTTATTTATGCCTGCTTTTGCTGCTGCGCTGTGACTTTATTGGGTAACTTAACTTAGAATCAGCAATTGAAGCTTGGTGAACTGTTAGGATGGCTGACTTTTGACTAAAAAGACATTTTTTAGTTGCGTTTAAACCCAAGTTCCGTCATATCGGCAACAACAAAAAAAAAACAAAAACACAAAACTTTGCGAAACTCTTTGCAAAATAACAAGACAGACGACGCCCCTAGATGCCCGCTACTCCATGATCGCCTACCCGCCGCGGACGCTTTGCTGTCGACTGCTCGATGCGCCTAATGCATTTTAAGTACAAATTTACCAGCATTGAGACATTAAACTTTTGTTCAAAGTTCAAACAGCAGCAAGTGGGCGACGACGCGAAGACATTGAAGCGGTTGCGGCAGCGGGTGGACGGGTGGGCGGGCGAGCGGGCGAGNTGCTCGATGCGCCTAATGCATTTTAAGTACAAATTTACCAGCATTGAGACATTAAACTTTTGTTCAAAGTTCAAACAGCAGCAAGTGGGCGACGACGCGAAGACATTGAAGCGGTTGCGGCAGCGGGTGGGCGGGTGGTTGGGTGTTTGGGCGGTCGGTTGCCTGATTTTGGTTTGTTGCAAAATTTAGATTGCGGAAATATGCACGCAATTGTGGCTTTGAGGCAGGCAAAAGAGCAGATTTTTCCCCTCGAACCTTGCTTGTGATTGGCGCTGTGAGTGTGCACAACAGCAGCAACAACTACAACTACTGTAGCGAACCTGACACAAAGCGGAAACTTTTTCGCAACTGAGCTGCCACCAGCGTCATATACATATGTACATACTTAAATACATAATAATCGTTAGCAAATATTTCCGACATTGCGGTTGCATGCAGCACATGTGCGCTAGTGCTTGCTTGCCGCATGCGTTGTACAAGTATGCACATTTTTACGTTCATGAATATCTATGTATGTATTTGGTTAGCTATGTATGTAGCGCTGTTATTGTATTAGTTTTACAGTAATAGTAATACAAATGCAAAATTGCTCACTTTGCCGCATCAAGCGCTTGGGCGTTGCACGTTGGGTGTGGCAAGTATACATTTAACGAGTTTGAAATGCAGCCAAGCAAACGCCCAACGAACGAACTCTGCCAGCTATGTACTTGCCACAGAGTTTGTTATTTTAATTGAAACTGCAGAATAATTTCATTTTATTGTGGTTGTCAGTAGTTGTTGTTCCTACTGCTGTTGCTGTTGTTCTTGTTGTTGTTGTTGTATGCAATCTATTTGATTTGCCTAGCTGTTGTTGCTGCCGCTTGTGTAGCGAGGAAGCTTTTTGTTGCTGGTTCTGTTGCGTGCTATCACAATTGTATAATTGTAGTTGTGCTGTTGTTGTTGTTGTTGTTGCCTTTTAAGTTTCAAATATTTTATGAGCATAATAAGTCAATATTTTAAACAAGTCTACACGGCGGCCGTGAGTTTAGCTCCACTTGCAAAGGAGCCTAACCATGCACGCACACACGCACACACGCACACACATACACGGATATGCGCGCTTGCTGCATACCTTTGTACATACATATGTATGTATTCGCATTTTTATTGTATTTATGTAGTTATTTTTCCATTATTATTTCCCTAGCAACCGCGTGGCAGTGCTTTGGAAGTAGGTCACCTCCGCAAACTTGTAAGTAAGTAAGTGTGTAGTTTGCATGTACATATGTATATATGTATATATGTATATCTGCATTTGCGTGTATGCACATAAATTTATCCGTCGTTGCCTGTGTCCATCAGTCTATATAACTACTTTCCCGTTCTCCCCCCGAGCGTTGGCTCTTAATTGCTGCGCTTTGTCTTCCCCAGCAGCAGCAGCAGCAACAGCAGCATCTTCAACTGCTCGTTTTTTCTTTGCCAACCTCTTTTTTATTCTCATTACTTTATGCCCGATCTTTTCCCATCTTCACTTTTGTATTGCTGTGCCTCCTCTGTATCTTCCTTGCTTCAGCTATTCGACTGCCTGTCGATCACTGATCGTCGTCTCTTCCTTCTCCTTCTGGCATTCATCTCGTCCGTGTTTTTCAGGGTGAGCCAGTTTGCATTCCTGCTTTTGCACTGCATTTATTTACTTCTTGACGCCATCCACTTTTTATCGCAATTTTTTGCTCGCAAAAAAAAGTAAAAAAAAAAAATATTGCAATTTACGCTTTACAAATATCCACATTTATCCGTGTGCCTGTCGTATCTATGTATGTATGTATGTATGCATGTTTGCATAGCTTTTAGTAATTGCATACGAACAAATAATGTGTGTGGCTTTGCCTTTGCATTTGCAACTTTCGCCTCCATTTTGCACTGCCATTGTGCGATGCCTTCGATATTTGCCAACAAAGCTTTGTTGTTGTTTTTTTTTTTTGCTATTGGTTCAATTTAATACTCGTCTTTCGATTTCTTTACACGTCCAACAGCTACATACATGCCTATGTAAATATGCATATACATACTTATGTATGTATATAATATACACACGTATACATAGCAAATTTTTTAATATATATGTACATACATACACATGCGTGCAAAGGTTTGTGGGCTTTGTGCATCCTAACTAATAAAAATTTTACTTTATGGGTCAAGTGTCCTCGAAAACATTTTAATCGACTGCATTCATTGTGACTGCTGAAGGTAACTTTTGACTTAAGAAAAAGAAAAAAAAGTATGAAAAATTTTAAAATTATGAAACAAACGATTTCTAGTCGAAATTCAGTTCGCAAACACCTCTGTCGCGTTTATTTAGCTATTTCGCCTTGAACTTTCTAATTTGACGATGAACGGACGAAAAAAAACGCTTGTTTGGACGTCTTTGGTGCAAATAAAATTTGAATAGAGTTCTTTTTCTTCAACTTATACATCTATTAAGATATACATAATATTTGGTTATTTAAATGTTTATCTTTATCCCGCATTATCCTCTTCAATATCGTTGTGGTTTGCAAATGTCGCTTTCGATTTTGTTATCGTTATCGATACTCTTAATGGTATGGTTATGGATATATACATTAACAAATATTTTGTGCTCCTTGTCAATATAGCTTTCACCGACATGTCTATAGATATATATTAGTCGTTGTCATTAGCGTTATCTTTACTGTTATTGTATCTAATGCCACTTATAGTTTCTTCCCAGGGAACCAAAAGCTTTGTTATCGCAGCCATTCTTTTGAGCGTAAAGATTTCGTTTGAATGCTCATTCGTACCCAATTGAGAAACAAAGCATTCGCATCAAAGATCATAAATATTTTTGGATTAAAAAAAAAGTGTTGATCGGTTTGCGAAAAAGTTAGTCCTGCACTTCTCTCCAATTCGTTGTGGCTAATTGATCTGTTTTTGTAGCAAAAAAGTAATTTTTCTTATTAAAAAATACTTTTTGTCCTTGGTATTTGATAAAGAAAACTTCAAACCCAGTAGCGGTGCCTTTTGTGGTCAAACTTGTTGTCTGTGCGTGAAATATTGGAATCGATTTTGAATCCTGTTTTTAAAGCTATTTTCAAACAACCACATTTAAGCAAATAATTATATGAAAAATAATAAAATATGGAAAATAAAGAAAAAATAAGTACTCTTTTATTTTTTTTGGAGAGAAAAATTCAAACCTTCGACATAACCTACAATTCATTTTTTTTTTTTTGAAAATGAAATCTGAAAATATTTTTTTAATCTAAATTAATTTTGTTTCAATTTCTGAGGAAATACTTGTTTTGCAGAAAGCGTTACTTTGTTTGCAATACTTAGCAGACAAATTAGGAAATTTAGATATTTCAGCTTTTCAATTGAAATTTATATAATTTGGCAATATTTAAAATAACTGTTTTTCAAATTAGTAGTCAATTTTTCTTTAGAAAAAATTGCATTCTAAACTTTTTCAATAAAACACAAATTAAAACAGTGACCATTTAGACCCAACGGTCGTCACAAAATGTGCGAAATAGTATGCCGATCAATGAAAATTTATGTTTTGTTTTTTTTACATAATCTACTTGTGTGGTCATAATTAATTTTTTCACAAAGAAAAATGGGTCAACTTACCAATAGTGCAATGTTATAAATTTGAGTTATGAAAATTATTTTATGTTTGTAGATTCAAAGGGGCATAATGTCAGCTAACAACTTAAAGATTTAAAAATCAATTAAAGTTATGAAGCGTTACAAAAAGTGGCAATTAAAGACAGAATAGTCTCGTTGAAACAGAAGAAGTCTCCAACACACTTTCAAGGAATAACATTGATTTCGCACAAAGTTCTAATTACATACAATTACATAAAAAAAACTACATCTTTGCATTCGCTACTACTACTCACCTTCAATAAATCACGAAAATATGGACTGCACGCCGACAATACGACGCGATGCGCTTTGATGCTGCGTCCCTCGCACGCCAATGTCACATCGACGAAATCCTCATCGTCACGCAAATTCTCGAACGCCGATGTTATGCTACTTTGGTAGTTGTTCCAACGCAAACAAAAATGCTGTGTCTCGTCCATTTTGGTGGCTGGCCTTGTTTCTGTTGTTGTTTGAGATGTTGGTGTTGGCTTAGGCGTTGACGATTCTACTCCAATGGCGCTGCTGTAAAAGCGTCGCCGTTTATTTTGTTTCACTCTTATGGGTATGCTCTTATTGTTTTGTTGCTGGGTTGATATAAAATTGTGTCTACTTGTAGGCGTTAAAGTAGTTAATGGTATTGATTTTATTGTTTTTGTTTTTGTTTTTTGCTCAGTAACGTTCTCAAATTGATTTGTTGCTGCTTCTTATGCGTTCTTAGGTTGTTGTACTTTCCTTGAGTTTGACTTTTTGGAAAATCTTACTTTCTTAGTGTATACTATTATTTTATATGTATTTAGTATTTATTTGTGTTTCAATTAAATAAACTGCAAAGAGAAGAGAAGAAAAATTAAATAAGATTTTGTGGGAAGAATGTGCGCTTAAAACCTACAATAAATAATATTGGCGAATGTCGGCAATGGTCATGGAAAACGAATGATCTCATAAAATACTCTGTTTTTGTGGTTTTTAGTGACTTTTTCTATAATTATTTAAGCCTTTAAATCGAAGTTCTAAAAGGTAAAGGTTTCGCGCATGCGTTAAATGTTTCCAAAAAATTCCATGGCTTTTAACAGTACTTAACTATTGCTGAAACCACCTCCTTTCGTTTATTTCAATTTTTGCTTCAAACAAATATTTTTCCTCAAAATCCAAGATTTATTAGTTTACAGTCGACATCTGAAATGTTTTTTCTATCTAATGGAAACTTTTTTATTGCTCCTCCTATAAAAAACATAAAGTTTCCTTTATTATTTCCTATAATGCTGAGATTTAAATGGCGAAATATTTAGTTTAAAATATATATTTTTATAAAACACTCTGTTGTTTTCATCACAACACATTTGTGTGCATAGAATTTTAATCGCACTTAACATACTCAAAAATTATCAAAAGTAGAAATGCCATAACAAACAATGCATTTGAAGTGTAGAAAATTCAAATTAAAATTCACTTTTAATGGGCATTAAAAACAAGCTTTATTTATTTTTGAACTCCAGCTGAGGTTATTGACATTCAAGGTTAGCCGTTTATTTTGGAAGCGCAGTGCTTTCTCATGCGAGTATGAAAAAAAAGACAAAAAAAAAACTTTGTATGCATTGGTGAACAAAAATTTTGGGATCAATTTTTTTATTGCTGCGCAGAAAAGGCTGGTTCACTTCGCCAAACCGCGCTGGAAGTTAATCTGAAAATTACTAAAATATGTATCATAAAATTAGTATTTCTGCGGGCTTTTTATCAAAAATCGCCTAAGTAGACTTAACGCTATGTAAATGATCTTTTCTAGGCATAAAAGCGTCGGTCTTAAACGAAACGTCCAGGGTGAGTCATATTTTAATAAAAAAAAAAATAACACAAACCACAAACTGCAATTTTTTTCAGCTTCATTTTCTGCATATTCTCCGATGGATAGCGATAGGTCGCTGGTTAAAATTTTNTATTGCTGCGCAGAAAAGGCTGGTTCACTTCGCCAAACCGCGCTGGAAGTTAATCTGAAAATTACTAAAATATGTATCATAAAATTAGTATTTCTGCGGGCTTTTTATCAAAAATCGCCTAAGTAGACTTAACGCTATGTAAATGATCTTTTCTAGGCATAAAAGCGTCGGTCTTAAACGAAACGTCCAGGGTGAGTCATATTTTAATAAAAAAAAAAATAACACAAACCACAAACTGCAATTTTTTTCAGCTTCATTTTCTGCATATTCTCCGATGGATAGCGATAGGTCGCTGGTTAAAATTTTCTGAGACGTTATCGACTACCGTGCTTTGTTGGATTCGGCCAAAATCGCTTAGGCGTTTACAGCGCCAAATTATAATGAGAAGAAGATTATCGATTGCATGTTTTCTTTAAACAATTTTAGGCTGAAAAAGTGCGCTCTTCCACGGACCCTTTTTTAGAGGCTCCCAAGAAATATTAGCAAAGGAGCGATGCGCAAGAAATATTCCTTCGTTTCATTTTCTTAAACTCTAGTCGTTAATATTTACAGTTATATGTTTAAACTATGAGAAGAGAGAAGTGACCAGTCAGTAGAAGCACAGATTGCCTACCATCTCGTCTGCCCATAGAGAACCGGTAACTATCTAGACCCTCGGAGATTGAGTACAGTCATGTTCTGAGGCACGCAAAGTGGAAGTGATAAAAGGGCTGACCAAAGTCTTTAATACAAAAGTGACGTGCTGTCCAATCACTTAACCCAATTTCATACTTTAACTGGAAATGCTGCAGCATATTGCCCACGGGAGTAGTGAAGCTGACCTCCATAGTCAACGTTGCGTTAAAGTTCTTCACTAAAAATGCAAGGAATCGTGCTATGCTGAACTTAAGGCTTTGGATCTTTAATGATCAATCTATTGAGCTTAGCATTCATAATAACTACTAAATACAAACATTTCTGAGAAGAAGTTTAAATCGACACTCTTTTAAAAGTACAGCAAACGAAAGCGTTTAACTTTCACGCTTTAGAGAATCTAACAAACACTGTAACGAAGACTGGCCAAAACAGTTGGGCCATTGAAAACACAGGCCACTTCAGCGGCATAGGTCCGCTGGTAGAAACCAGAGATTTTAAGAGAGACAAAAAGTTCATAAGTTTGTTGTACAAAATGCACAACGGTATTCACTTAAGGATTGTGCTTTTTCTTTGATGCAGATTTTTGTCCGTTTACCGATTTCATTTTCGCATACTTTGACGATCCGTTTTCCCAGACAAGTATAGAAAATTGTTGTGAAGTGGAGACGTTTTTGGCTGTTTTTCTGAACTTTATCTGATTGAATTTTTTGCTCAATAGTCTTTCCTTCTGCACTTCACACCCGCGTTGTTTTTGGACGTGCTTGGTCGTTTTTTGTTCGTTTCCGGATACGGAAAATTGTACGATCGCGAACTGTTGGCCACATTTACATTTCTCTGCTGACTGGGATGCTAATCTCCAAATATTTGAGCCCATTATTGGCTCAATAGCCTCTTCACCCATTCTGTCGCAGCATAGTTGCTT